CCCCAACCCCTGACCGCCCCTCCCCGGCCGCCGTCGACCCCAGGTGCTGCTGCTGACAACGCACGTGGGGGGGCTGGGGCTCAACCTGACGAGCGCCGACACCGTGGTGTTCCTGGAGCACGACTGGAACCCGATGAAGGACCTGCAGGTGGGGCGGGAAACAAACTAAACTGCCTGCGTATGACCTCTTGATGGGTACATGTACTTTGTATGTGTGTATCATGCTATAGACTTATCTACTCATGTAAACGAACTATGCATATGAGGGCCCGAAGACTTCTTAATCATGGCACCATCTTGTGTATGACTTTGGGGCGTCGCCGCAGGGCATCCCCATCACGGCCTGCTTGTCATGCGGCCCCACCGGCGTTCCCAGGGGACATGAGCCGTGTGTGATAGCGGCTGTGTGTTGTCTTGGTGGCACGCGAAAGCACGCACCTGCACACTGCGAAGACGACGCGTGTGTGCAAGCGGGCGCCCGGACGCACACACACTCACACAGACACACACACACATACACACTCGTACGTGTGCGGCCCACCCACAGGCCATGGACCGCGCCCACCGCCTGGGCCAGCGCCGTACCGTCAACGTGTACCGCCTCATAATGCGGGACACCCTGGAGGAGCGCATCATGGGGCTGCAGAAATTCAAGACGGACGTCGCAAACGCGGTGGTCAACCAGGTGTGGACTTTGGGGGGGGGGGCCCAGGAGGACGGGGTCCGAGTGCAAATGGACTGCTGATTCGAGGGGAGGGGTTGTGGGGCAGGTGGGTGTGCTCTGCAGTCCAGCATGTTCTTGGGGGCATCAATTGAGGCAATTTTGCATGGTGTGGTGGGGTGGGGTACGGGGCATGGCAGGTGGCAGCGCTGGTGTATGAGTGCGATGAGAGAGGTTTGCTTGGGAGTGTGGCAGGCGGCGTCAAGCCCAGCGGCCTCAAGGGCTGTGCCTGTGCGTCATGCGTCCCGTGCCGGTCCCCCCCCTGCGCCACCCTGAGCACCTGCCGCCGTGCCGTTTGTTATCGTTGTCATTCCGCCCAGGACAACGCGTCAATGGCAGCGATGGACACCAGCGGGGTGCTCGACCTCTTTGCCGCGCCAGGCAGCGCCGCCGCCTCCGCCGCGGCCGCGGGCGGCGGTGAGGGCGGCGCCAAGGGCGGGGACGCCGTGGCCGCCGCCGCGGGCGCGGGCAGCGGGCGCGCCGGCGGCGGCGGCGGCGCGCTGCAGCGGCTGCTGAATGCGGTGGGGGAGCTGCATGATGACGAGGCGCAGTACGAGGGCCTCAGCGTGTCCGCGTTCGCGTCCCGGCTGCAGCAGCCGGGGGGCGGCGGGAGAGGCGG